ACGCAGCCAAGGCTTGCCGTCGTTGGGCTCAACTCGCAGCCCAATCAAGTTCTTTAGAAATAAGAGTTGAGTTCGCCGGGCAGAGTCGGATTCCAGCAAAGTGGGTTGAAGCCATCTCTGTGCGCTGCCGCACGGCCTAGATCCTGAGGCCATGAAACCGCTCATCGATGCCGGCACTAGCCACCGTCGTTTTCGAGCCGAACAGGGTGAATGTTCATTTTGGGGCCGAATATGCTCATTGACGTCAAAAAGTGTAGCGGAAACGATGCCAGTGGGGTTGGCAAAGAATCATTTGACATGAGCGTTCTGGAAGTTCTTGCTGTAATATCCAGCTATAGAGATCAGCATCGAAAGACCATCTCTTCGAAACAGGATGAAGCTCGAGCGCGCGGAAGGAGGAGCTTCCAATTCATGTTGCACAAGAAGAACGGGCCCTCATATGGATGCAGCGTCTTTCGAGTCGCCTCTGATTGACGAAGATGCCTCGACGTTGGCAATGCGCCAGGTACCGAGTGAGATCGCCTGATCCAGCAGCTGCAAGGGAAGACTCAAAATCGCCCTATCTTTGACCAAAGAGAGGCGCCGGAGACATGCGGCTCGTTTCTCGATAGTGGTATGCTTCGGCGAAGGCACTGTCTCCCGTCCGCCAACGTCGCAAGGGCTGAATACAATCCCACAGCTGCGAGTACTTTCCGTTAGCCGCGATGTCTGTGAGATGAGCCAAGATGAGATTCAGGGTCAACGCGATTGTAGTGGTGGCCGTTGGGAAAACGTGGTTGAGAAACATCAGAAGAATCCTTCCTAATTGTAATCTCGGTGTAATCGAGCCAGCACCATCTCTCGCAGTTACCAGGAAACCCGCAGCTCAAGTGACTCGGATTACATGTTCCAAATCCACGCCCAGTTGAAATCGACGAGGCAGGAGATCCGGCGATGGAGCGGTATGGTATCGCTGAGAAGTAAATCGATCCGTATGTACGCAAGCTGCCGGGGCTTTGTTTAGTCTCGGCAACGAGGTTGCTCCGAATTCACGAGGCTCGCAGTTCGTAGGATCGGAAAAGTCAATTGAGGACGTAGTGGTATTTTCCTGAGTTCACTTGCAGAAAGCGAAGACGAGATACGAATCGTAGGGGAAAAACGAAGTGCGCCATGTCCGGGCTACTCGGCCAAGCTTAACAAACAGGGCGCTGGTACCTTGGAGCGCCTTGATGCTGGGTTAACATAATGCCCGCATTCGCGGGTCATTGACGAGAAGGCGATTGTAGTGGCCAAGACCTGGTGGAGACGGCAACAGCAACGGCAGGACAAGGAAGACGACGTTGATGGCTTCACCATGATGATAGGCTGAAGTTTTCCGTCGTGGTGTGGTCCGGGCCAAAGGTCGCATACTTGAAGGAAATGCGGGACTTTGAATTGAAATTCGATGTTCCTCCGGGCAAGCCGTAAAGGAGGGCGGGCAGAATAAATGGCGTGAGAATGCTTTTGGTGTTGAAGAGATATCCCTGAAGATGGAGCAATCGAACCTACAGGAATAGGTGAAACGGAGCGAGAGTTCATCGAATGAAGGTCCGTGTGCCTCAAGCGTTGGATTTCCTCTGTGCTTTTCTTCAGGCGAGAGGACGAAAGTGGCAGTTGGAGCATGCCGTTGGCCAGTTGAAGCAGACATGATGCAGATAGCAGTGGAAGTTTCCATGCGGAGACGGGAGAGAAGTCAATGGTGGATGTAATGGTCTGGAAGCTGTGTGTGCCAAGAGGGGGGCGGCTGGAGATATTGCTCCATGTGCTGGGATGCTTTGAGATGTCTTTTTTCGATGTTCTTGCGTGTGGTGGGTGAGCTTGAACGTGGCAGTGTGTCGCTGCGTTGGAGAGCATGCGGGGAGAGATGGTGTCGAGGGAAGTCTGTTGGGTATTCCAGATGCGCCTACGATGCTGTACCTTCCGTCGATAACATGGCCCGATGTTCCAGGCCAGCGTTGATCTGAAGACTGAGGCATCTGAGGGTTTGGTGTGGTGCAAGATGAGGTGCCTGCCCTTGCAGATCGTCTTTCATCAGAGGCAGGTACATGTGGTGGGTGATGCGTGTGGCAGGAACTGGGAGGCAGTACGTATCGAACCTGCCCAAGCGGAAGAAAGTGTCTGGGGAGAAACCGTTGGAGGCAGCTGCCACACTACACAGCGAGGCTCCTTCACATTTCGATGCCCCTTCAGCCAGTGTCAGTCGGAGTTTGCGATGGGAATCTGGGAAGGCGTGAGTTTCCCCCCGCTGTCCCGGCGCAGGCCCACCTTCCTCAGTGACACACACCTCCAGAGGGTGACTGATAAGATAAGAGCCACACCCCTGCTGGCAATCTGCGCAAGTGGGGCGGCTGCACCTCAAGCGATGGCGCTAATTCGCCGGTGCTGTCAGCTTCTCCTCCTGACTGGTTCAATGCTGGGAAAGTACCCGCCATATGTACCTCCGCTAACCGAATGACGTCCCCTTTCGACCCCACGCCCCGCTAAGTCGTTGTCACTGCTGAAGCATCACATGAACCCCTTCTCCAAGACCCGTGGCCATCCGTCTCTGTCTGACTGCGCTGTTCGTCGTTATCGCGGAACTGCCTCCTACACACTTCCATGGCCCCTTTTACGCCTTACACAAGCACCTGATAGACACATCTTGCGGCCTCTATTCTACCCTAAACAACATCAGTCCCACGAACTTCAACACCATCCGCCCTGAGCACCCCGCGGACCCCACGCTGAGCTCCGATCGCCTTCGCTGATCATGTCGCTCTTCACCGCGCAGCTCCATCCAGGGCGGGCTCTGGGCTTTCTCGGTTTGCATGAACTCTGCCCTTGAGAGAGGCACTCTCAGACACTAACTCTATCGTTGTCGCCTAGTTCTCGGAGCATCCTTGCATGATGTCTTGACGCGACTGAAAGCCGAACCCCAGCGTTTTCCACAGCTCGACCTCGCCTATTCTCGCGACCAACCCGTCCAGGAACCCATTACCCTGACGCTTCCTGCCAACGGCATCCGCCTACGCTTCGATGGCCCCGAACAGCGCTTGCGCTTGATAGAGATTATCGACTTTACAAAGAATCATGTAACCTTCAAGGATCGTGATCTGGTCAAGCCTGCAAACTCGCAAGGGCCGCCATCGTCTCCCGTCCCCGGAGAATCCAGCTCCGGCCCAACCTTCCGACACATCTACCACAGGCTGCTCGGGCCAACCTACGGCGGAGAGTATATTCCACCTACACCAGACGCCCCCGACAACCTGGGTAACTACATACTTTCTTATCCCGGCGTCGCCTTTACCTTCCGACTCGCCGAATCTGCATATTCTCCCACCAAGGACGTTGTGTCCTTGCTGTCTTCCGCTACCAGCCAAGTGGCCACATCCATGGCCGTGTTCAGTGGAGATTCATGGGCGCAAGCGCGAGAGGCACTCTGGACGGAGATCCTGCCCAGTGTCAAGACAGTTCCCGTGCTCCCGAGGGGCAAGGACGTTGTCCCCGACGAGATCTCTCTGGTCAAGATTCATGGGGGCGGCAAGCTCCAGCTGTTCCGCAAGTGGTCCAACTCGTCAATCTGGATCATCCTGGGAGAGACTAGTCCTCAGGAACTGATCGCAGAGCTTGGCCCACCCAACGCCACATATCGGAAGAACGACCAGAGAATGACAATACACAAGCTTCGGACGGCAAGCCATAGCCGCGCTCGGTCGAACGGTGCTGACCTGAGCCGTCCAGACGACTTGACGGATACCGACCAGTCGTCTGCGAACACAGGCTCAGATGATGATAACGACGAGGCTGTCGAGGAAGACATTGCTGGCAATGTTTCTGGAGAATGTTTCTACAATTACTTTTATTTGGGCTTTGACGTTCTGGTCTCAACGCCGTCTCCGCCGTCACGACCACCGCCTGCCCAAAATGAGTCTCAGGTGCCGCCTAGCAAGCCCATCAAGTCAGAGTCTCCTGATCGGCTGGTTGCGACCAAGTTGGTTCTTCACGGCAATGTACCTGGCTCATACGAGTTCAACCGACACCGTAGATGCCGCTGGGAAGTTAGCTACCTAGATGATGGTTCGCCGGGTGCATCGGCAAACTCAGAGACCAAGTTCATCGAGATCAAAAACAGACTGAACGAACGGTGGAGCAGCGCATATCCTGACGGAGACTCAAAGGCTCCCCAAAGAGGTATGGTTCTCAATAGGGGATGGGGGGATAGTCCCGGCAGCAGTTGCGAGTTTCTTGGGGGATGGGAGGACAGCGGCGCCAAGAGACTGGATGATACAGACGATTCAACCACTACTCTATTTGGATTCCCAGGCCTCGTGTTTGAGGTGCTGAAGAACGATCATGTTAATACGGTCACAGTGTTTTAGGGTTTGAATTGGGCATTAAACCTGGGGTCAGGTGTTATGGTGGTTGTGTGGTTGTACTGCTGCTTCCATTGAGTCAAGCTGTTGGCCAGGGAGACGAGGCTTTGTATTGGCTACGATATCCCTACATGCAAGATGGGGTTATGCTCAAATCCAGATGCCTCTTTAGACACCACCTCCGTTTAGCCTCGTTCTTTGGAGTGCCCGCCAACTCAACATGGAACAGCCATGACGTGGCGGCCAACAGATATCCCATTGGCAAGGCTTCTTCCCCATCCACTTGCAATATTCCATCTGATTTTGCATTTCATGCAAGACAGACATGGGATATTTCAGCTTTGTCCTCGCTTTACTTGTTGGTCTGACTCGGCCTACGTTTCGGGAGTCAAGGGCATTGCCACAAGCACCTACCATGTTGTAAAGCTCCAGCAGCTCCGAACAGGCCGTCCATATTCAACAGCTAACAGCTTCCAGACCCGGCGCCAAAAACAATAAATAATACAGGTCGAAGCCTGTCAATCACAATCGTTTCTCATCACAGCAGCATAGAACAGTACATCCTTTCGAAAAATACCCAGAGATACCCCCAAGAGATACCCATCCGTACCCCCCAAAACCACAGACAAAATGAAGGCACCTCCAGCAGCTCAGAACGCCAAGCAGAACGCGCTGGCGCTTAAGAGATACCTGCCCCGCAAGCTCCGAGAGGCGGCCGAGGACGAAGCCGAGGTGGAGAAGGGCATCGGGCATGACCTGATCATCTACAGCTTCGACCGCCCCAACGGGCAGTACGGCTACACGCCCTTCACGATCCAGCTGCGCATGCGCCTGCGCCACGGCGGTGTCCAGCACAAGGACCGCGCCGCCAACTTCTTCCAGGCCCCAAAGCAGCGCGTCCCGTACGTCAAGCTCGCTGACTCCGACGAGCTCGTCGGCGAGGCCCAGTTCGTCATCCAGCGCCTGGTGCAGACTGGCAGGCTTCCGGACCTCAACAAGGACCTCTCCGCGGCTGATAAGGCTAAGGATGTTTGCATCCGCGCCATGTTGGAGGATCGCGCCTACTTCCTTGTTGTAAGTGGCTTCGTGGACGAGAGACTATACATGTGAAGAGTGAATGCTCATGAGGACTGCAGCTCTACGAGAGATGGCGCGGCCAGTATGAGCAGATGTGGCACGACGGCCCCTTTGCCCACTTCGTCTGGGGCGCGAGACACATCTCGCACCAGATGGCGCGCGGCTACGTCAACTCCCAGCTGTACCTGCAGGGCGTCGGCCGCTACACCGACGACGAGGTCAAGACCTTCGCCACGGACGTCGTCACCTCTCTCAACGGCTTCTGCGAGACGGCGCTCTCCAAGCTGTCGCTCGACTCCCGCGAGTCCCGCGAGCCCTTCTGGATCCTGGGCGGTCAGAGACCTACCGAGGCTGACTTTGTTGCTTACGGCAACCTGGCGACGGTTCTGGGAACCTCTGTGTAAGTTTTCAAATGCGTCTGCACAGGGACATCAGATGGCATAAGAATCAGAAGTAGCTAACACGCCTGGCGCAGCAACCCGGTCCACGCGGCTCTGATCCGCGAGAAGCCCGCCTTGGTCGAGTACATTGGACGGATCCACGAGCGTTACTTCTCCGAGTACAAGTCCCCTGTTCACTCTTGAAGTAAAGGTAGTTTGGTTAGGGTGAGATACCCCGATACCCCCCCAGGACACCCCTAGGACAAGAGGAAAGGTCCGCCGTGTCGCGCGCGCGCCTGCTATTTGGTCGAATTTTCCATATCATATCAAAGTCCTTCGTTGAGAGAGAGAGAGAAGTAGGGGGTCCCGAGGAACACGGTTATGGGCTCTTGGATGGTTTTCTTTGTGTATTTGGTGTGCTTTCAAACCGTGCTCTCACACAGGAAAAAGAAAAGGGAAGACGGGATTGTGCTTTGTATTCCGGGAAACCGATATTTGGAAAATGTGGAAACGGTTTTCCCCGGCCGTTAGGAGCAGGATACTGATGCCTAACTGTAGTCTTTCTGGTCTTCCTAGAGCTTAATTACCCGGTTCGCCAATACTATTGCTGTTTTTTTTCATAATTTGCGTGTCTGAGATGAAATGTGCACTATGCAAAGCTGTTCGGTGGAACATTGGTGGTGGTATATTCGATGACTTGCATGAACGAGGCTGCTAGCTCTTCGCAGCAATAGCGGGGGAGCAGCAATGTCTGAACGAACACCCAATGAGGGGTTCGCCAGGCGGTCATGGCAGATGTCGCAACAAACCGGGGAGACCCTTCGAGATGGGATGCGATGGGCGGTCTGATCCGTCCTCCTCCGTTTAGCGCGGATCGGGTGCCCCGCCATTTTTATTCTTGCTGCGTTAGCGCGGTCGAGTAAAACCGGTTAGAAGTTGGTTGGAACTGGACCCCTCAAAGGAAGAGCACGAGGATGCAGTTGTGATGGGGAACAAAGGAGCAGGGAAAATGGGCTGCTGCTGCACAACATGCTTTTCCGCAGCTCGCTTGCGCTTGATGGTCGGGGTGCCAGTGGCTCCAGCTGGCAGCTGCCGTCTGTAGTTTGGCGCCCCTGTATGTAGGTAAGGTACCTACCTACCTTGGGTCGATGTCTGGAACAATGATATTCCTTTCCGGTAGAATACCGAAAACCTGGAAACACAGCGGAGAACACGCGGTGTACCTAAGCATCGTGACCTTCCTCGTCGAAGTTAGAGCTGCATCTGAAGCGAGGCGCGGGCATAGACATGCTCTCCCCATAATTTCATAGTAAATTCTTTGGCAATCGCTTGGATCGACATGACCTTCGACAAGGGTTTCTAGACGCACAGGAGCGAAAGGGGGCATCAAATGTCTGGCCCTGGCATTACTTCTCATAGCCTGTCTCAGCCACCATCATGAGTGACAATGCTGTATCACTGGAAGGGTGCAGACATGTGTGATGTGTTCTATAATCTCGGATCAATTTCACCGCGTGAAAAGGACATTCATGCTGATGAGAGGCCTGTGAACAGCTGAGGTGCCATAGGTCGGGTCTGTCCAGTGTTTCCTCCGGAGTATGAGGATGATCCGCGCCGGCGATTGCCGACAAAACGGTGGACACGCAGTTGCAGCGGGTGGGGAAGAAGCGGCAGGCGAGAAGGCAATTTTAGCGCGACCTGGGTGGGTGGGTGCTCTGTTGCTTGGTGCTTGGTTCTCTGGTGCTACGCCACGGCAGAGCTAGCTGCCAAGTAGCAACTGGAGAAGGACAAGAGGGAGCTTCTCTGGAGTCTGGTTTGCGGCTTGCCTGTCACTATCCCTGCCCTTGCTGTTCCGGTCGCGCTGCATGGCTTGTGTACCTACCTCACTGGCCAGGTCTTTTCCCGTTGCGCTGCTACTCCAACAACCTAAAGTCTTCTTGGTCACTGGTCTGGCGCTGCTGCCGTTGCCCAACGATTTCTAGTCAACGATTCCTAGTCAACCGATTCCCCAAGATCGACACCAACCTATGCTCAGCTGGCACATGTCAATGCCCTGTTTCGGCTCGGACGAATCAGCGCCTCTCTTTGCCAAAAACTTCGTCACCTTCGTCCCTTCACATGGGATACCTGCCTTTCTAGACTCGTCTTTGCACCTGCGCACCGTCGCCTGTGCCCCCCCTTGCGTCGACGTCAACCGGACTGCAATGGCCGCTGCGGCCTGTTAACGTCCTCTTTTTCGTAACCACCGACGCTCGTTGGCGACACGACACCGACACCAGAAACACCACACGAGCAGCGCACCGACGACGACGATATCAAAAACCACGAGACCGATTTGAGAAACTCCACCAATAACACCCTTTTCCCCAACGACGGCGGCCATGCGAGCAACCTCGCCGCAATGACGGAGAAGGATGCCGCCCAGCAGCGTGCCGTCTTCACGAGGAAGCTGAGCCCGCACTCGATGCCTGGGGATAGGGGAAGCAGCAGGGGTAGCTACGAGACGGGCGAGTCGAGCGCGACGGGGAGCCTCCTCAACGACACCACGCTCCTGCCTTCACCCGACGAGTCGAGCGGTCGCCGCCCAACATCCAACTCGTCGGCACCGAGAGACGCTGAATTTACGACCGGATATGCTGCGAGGGACGTGAAGAAGCAGAGGGCGCCTAGGCATCGCTCCAACGGCGGGTTCCTGCTGCAGGATGCCATTCGCAACGATGACGACTCCGATGGGGACCAAGGGGTCCGCCGGCGACATTCACGCAACCCACCGACCAGCCGCAGAGCAAAAGAGTCTGGGAGAGCGTCCGACAGATCAGGTTCTGGCGCTGGCCGCGACGCCGGCCTGACGTTTACCGAGATGGACACCTCGCCGCGACGGAACGGCGATATTTCACCCACGCAACCGACACATAACTTGACCGTCAGGAAACGGGATGCGGTGAACGGCAGACCGCTCAGCGGATCGAGCTACACCCCGCCCTCGACCAGCCACTCGCTCGATATCGACTCCACGCAGATCGTGAACATGGCTCTTAACTTGAGCGAGTCGCGGCGGCAGGCGTCGCGAAGGATCGCATCCCAGGCGGTGCCCACTCTGGCGCAGCTCCCGGACGCTACCGGTCCGAACCTGAAGAACCACTACCAACAACAACGAAGAATATCGCGGACGAGGTCGCCGGGCCCGGATAAGGCTTTAACGCCCAGGTTGCCGTCGGCCGGCGTGCTTCACAGCCCTCTCCAGGCCTCTTTTGACATGAGCCGCGAGGGCACTTTCCGAAACCACTTTACTCCGTCGACTCTTGCTAGGGCGCAGAAGGCGAAGGAACATCTCGAACTTATGGCGCAGTATAGGCGCTTGTTGGAGCTGGTACCGCCGATCCAGCCACAAACCTCGAGCCGTCCGACGACGGCTAGCCCGCCAACATCTTCAGGGGGTATCGCCAAGACTCCGACATATGGTAGCTCCGATGGGAGCGTACGGCTAGGCCGACAATATAACCCCTTACAATACATTCGAAATAGAAAGGTTCGGGCGCGGGAACGCAAGGCCATTGACGGAGAGGTCCAGGGATTTGGGGATACCATCAAAGTCGACAACTGGATCGATGACGTGGCCAAGTGGGCTGCCACGGGCCAGACGAACGCGGACGGTTGCACGCTGCCCCCTTTCCCCGATGCTGATGCGCGAGAGAATGCCTTGCAACTTGCTGCAAATGCCAACAAACCGAGGCGACCAAGGCTGGACTGGTTCGTTGACCCGGCAGATCTCCTTGCTGACGCATACTGGCTGGAGCAAGATCACCACAAGCAACTGATTGAAGACCGGCAATGGCGCAAGATCTTTCCCCAGATGCCCGATCTCCACAGACCATTGCCAAGGCAGAATGCAGAGTATGGCAGTGAGTCGGGTCACACGTCGGGTCGGAAGGAGCACGAGGATGCGGACCCTGCGATAGACCCCAAGACCGGTCATCCAAGGCTGGCCAAATCTGATACCGACCATTCACACGCCAGCAGCACCCGAGACCGTGCTCGCCAGAAGCTTCACGATCTCACAGGCCATCACCATCACCGCCACAGCCAGTCGACGCATAGCCATCATGACTACTTGCGTCTCGGCAAGTCATCCTTCTCGGACGGATCTGACAGCGAGAGCGAAAAGATCAAGAAGATTGAGAGGAGAAACCGGACCGGCACATTGACGAGTAGTCACCAAGATATCCTTGAGAAACAGATGCTGGAGATGATTGCTAGGGAAGCCCGAGAGAACGATCCTAAGAGGACGGACGGTTCTGGGTGGATGACCCCGGAGCGGGATGCGGGAGCGCTGTCTCAGCCGCAGTCACGCCAACACAGCCGAAAGCCTTCCATTGTGGAGGTTAGCGAGTCCGACGAGAGGAAGAGCAAGGATAAGCCTCGAAAGACACCGAGCTACCTTCAGCAACCTGGAAGACCCAGTCTGGAGATTCCTCACCCGGCACGCAGGAGCTCTTTCGATGTCGATTCTTCCCAACCCAACTCTCCTGATGGTGCAGTCCGCGGGGATCCTTTCATTCCCGCACTTGGAGGCGATTTATCCCCGGGATCCAGTCGCGCCAACTCACCGACTAGGAACCCCTTTTCAAAGGTCAAGCAAGCAATCTTCCGCGATCGAAGTAAAGAGAGAGGAAGCGAACGGATTTCAGAAGAGCGTTCTAGCGCTGAGTATCTGGCAAGCGCACCGAAGACGCCATTTGAAGCGTCGCCAGAGTCATCCGGAGAGCGGAGGTCAATTGATAGGCGGGGATCGTCAAGGAGTCCTTCCCGTAAGATCGCCCAACGAACGACCGGCGACAGCCACAAGTCGCACCGCAGCGTTACTAGCATCAAGCTGCGCAGCGATGACCCGGGCGTCAGAGGAATCTTCAAAGCAGCCCGCATCGACAAGGTTATTAGCGGTGGAGTATCGAAGCTGGGCGACCTCATCTGGCGTAAGGAGTCGGATACGGGCGATGGCCCATCGGAGGCAGAGGGCACGACGACGGACGAATCGGATACAGAGCCCAGAGGCAGGCGAAGAGGCGAGACGCCGTTGTCAAGGACTGCATCCATTCGCCAACAGAACAACAAGAACTTCCTAGACGTGATGCCGACGTTCCAATCGGACAAGTTGAGAGCCACCGAAAGCGAACCTGCTATTCCCCTGGACCCGACGTCTCGCC